GGCCCCGGGAGGCCACATGAAAAATAGGAGGGCCAGGGAGCCAACTGCGCATTTAGGCCTGGGAAGCCGCATGACAACCTGGAGAGCCCAGGGGGCTGGTTGCACACGGAGGCCCAAGGAGGCCAGACGAAAGCCCGCAGGGCGCGGGGGGCCATCAAAACATGGAGGCCCGGAGAGACTGCATGAAAGTCCAGAAGGGCCTGGGGCCAGCAGCGCATAGAGGCCCAGGGAGGCCGCACGAAAGCTTGGAGGGCCTCSGTGCCAGCTGTGCAAGGAGGCCTGGGGAGGCTGCATGACAGCCTGCAGGGTCCTGGGAAACCGCACGTGCATGGAGGCCCGAGGAGGGACCACAACAGCTCGGATGGCCAGGGTAACGAGCTGTGCACGGAGGCCCAGGGAGGCCGCACGAAAGCCTGGGGGACCTGGTGTCAAGTTGGGCACAGAGGTCTGGGGAGGCTGCACTATATCCTTGAGGGTCCAAGGGGCCAGTAGCGCATGGAGGCCCGGGAAGGGTGCACGATAGCTTGCAGGTTCCGGGTGTCTGCTGCACACAGAGGCCCGGGAAGGCAGCACGAAAGCTCAGAGGGCCYGGGGGGCCAGCTGCGCATAGAGGCTCGAGGAGGCAGCACGAATGCCCTGGGGACCCGATTCAAGCTGGGCACGAAGGCCTGTGGAGGCCGCACTGTAGCCTTGAGGGCCCAGGGGGCCAGCTGCCCACGGAGGCCCGGGGAGGCCACATGGAACCCTGCATGCCCCGGGGGGGCCAGCGGCCCACGGAGGCCYGGGGACACTGCATGATAGCCCGCAGGGCCCGGAGGGGCAGCTGCGCATAGAGGCCTGGGGAGGCCCCATGAATGACCGCAGGGTCCGGCGTGCCACCTGCGCACRGAGACCCAGGAAGGCCGCATGAAAGCCCGGAYGGCCCAGGGGGGCAGCTGYGCATGGAGGTCCGGGGAGGCCACACGAATGATGGGAAGGCCCAGCGGGCCAGCTATGCACGGAGGCCTGGGGAGGCTGCACGAAAGTCCAGAGTGTCCAGGCTTCCACGCGTGCACAGAGGCCCAGGGAGGCCGCAGGAAAGACCGGAGGGCCCAGGGGGCCACGTGCACATGGAGGCCTGGGAAGGCCGCACGAAAGCCCGCATGACCCAGGGGGCCAGCTGTGCCCTGAGGCCCGGGGAGGCTGCATGAAAGCCCGCAGGGTCCTGGGTGCCAGCTGCTCATGGAGGCCCAGGGAGGCCGCACAAAAGCGCGTAGGGCCCGGGAAACTTCGCACGCACGGAGGCCCGGGGAGACTGCACTAAAACTCGGCGGGCCCGGGGGGAGCTGCGCACAGAGGTCCAGAGAGGGCCCACAAATGGTGGGAGGGCCCAGCAGGCCAGCTATGCAGGGAGGCCCGGGGAKGCCGCATGAAAGCCTGGAGGGCCTGGAGGGTGAGCTACGCACAGAGGCCTGGGGAGGCCACATGAAAGCCCAGAGAGCCCAGGCTTCCACATGTGCACGGAGGCCCAGGGAGGCTGTAGAAAAGACCAGAAGACCTGAGGGGCAAGCTGCGCATGGAGGCCCTGGGAGGCCGCACGAAAGCCCGGAGGGTCCCGGGTCCAGCTGTGCATGGAGGAATGGGGGGGGCCGCACGAAAGCCTGCAGGGCCCACGGATCCAGCTGCGCACGGAGGCCCAGGGAGGTCACACGAAAGCCCAGAGGTCTTGGGGGTCCAGATGCGCACGGAGGCCCAGGGAGGCCGCACAAACAATAGGTGCTGTATGCTTTTTTCTTGGGCTAGGTTGCACTATTTGTTTTTGCAGGATTCCTTGTGTGGCAGGATGTGTGGGGGGTGTTGGTGCTATCAGGGGGGCTTTTGAGGGTCCTGTCGGTCGGGTGGGTTTTGTGTGCCCTGAGTTGGCGATAGTGTTGCAAGAGGTCTTTTCTGCAGGTGGCCTTTAGATAGACAGGTAGTGAGCAAAGCATCACTTTGCAGGCGCTCAGGTTTGTGTTGTGGAAGAGGTAGGGATGGAGACAAGGCAGTTGTGAAGGTGCRGAGTGAGGGTGCGTCTTCCGTGGAGGATATTTGTGTGCGTTGGGAAAGAGCGTTGTGCATTCCATSAGTGCGGTGTGAGCGCAGCTGTGTGTGTTTAGTTGAGTGAACGYGCTGGGTCTGGCCTTAAGAGGGCATCTGTGGGCACTTCTGCTGCATGCAGCTATACCAGCCTCTATGAACCCAATCCCGTCAGATCTTGGAAACTATGCAGAGCGGGGCTTGGTTAGGCCTTGGATGGGACACTATCCTGGAATGCTGGGTGCTATATGCCCTTTTCTGGGTCCAGGGTGCAGTGTTTTTATTTACTGGTTGTCTGGTGTGGCAGGCTGTGTGGGGAATGTCGGTGCTATCCGGGGGGCTTTTGAGGCTCCCGTCGGACGGGTGTGTTGCGCCGTGAGCGGATGGTTGTGTTGCAGCAGGTCGTTTCCTGCAGGTCACTTGTAGACAGAGGAGTTGTGAGCGGAGCATGGTATTGCACGTCGYGAGATGTGTGTTCTGGATCAGCGAGGGATGTATACAAGGCTGTTGTGTTCGAGTGAGTGTGCTGAGTGAGGGTGCGGCTTGTGTGGAGGGTGTTTGTGTGTGTTGGGAAGAGCGTTGTGTGTGCCATGAGGGCGGTGTGAGTGCAGCAGGGTATGTGTCTTTGTGTTGGAGCGATATCGCAGGGTGTGGCCTTAAGAGGGCGTCGTGGACCCTTCTGCTGCATATGGCCAGACCAGCCTCAGTGAGCCCTGTCCCATCTGGTGTTGGAAGGAMAGAAGGACTGGGCTCCCTCAGTTTTTGAACGGGAGAGTATGTTCGAATGCCGGGTGCTGAGTGATGGTGTGCTCGCCAATGCTCAGAAAGACCCGTGGAGCCTACATGAAACCACGGAGGGCCCCAGGAGCTGTGTGTGCCCTGAGGCTTGGCTGCAGAAATGCCCGGAGGGCGCACTGGGTGTGACATTTGAGGAGACCCATGGAGGTCACACGAATGCCTTCATTTTCCCAGGGTGCAAGTGCGCAGGAAGGCTTGTGGAGGTGGCAAGAAATCCTCCAYGACCCCCGGGGCACATGTGCGCAGAAGCCCTGGGATGCCACACGATACAACACAGTGACACCAGGGCTCAATTATCATGGAGGCCCATGGAGGACGCACCAATACCCAGAGGGCCCCTGGGGCCAGCTGTGCATGGAGGCCTGGGGAGGTCGCACCGATTACCAGAGGGCACTTAGGGCCACGTTTGCACRGAAAACCAAGAAGGTTGCAGGAAAACTTGGAGGGCCCCCAGGGCCAAGTGCGCATGATGGGCTGAGGAAGCCTCACAAATGCCTGGAGGGCCTCCAGGTCTGTATGCCCTCTGAGGCCTGGGGACTCTGCTCGAAGGTCGGAGGGTCCCCAAGCCTCAGAGCACATGGAGGCCCGGGGATGTCAAATACACCCTTAGGTTTCCCGTGGTCCAGAAGCCTGTGGAGGCTGCTGGAATCCTGGGAGGGGCCAAACGCACACCAAGGCCCGGCAAGGCCACACAAAAGCCCAGGGGGACCCTGAGCTAAAGTGGGCTCGGAGGCTAGGGTTGCTGCATGAATCCCCGCCACGGCCACATGCACACTGAAACCTGGGAAGGCTGCACAAAAGCCCAGGGTCTGTGGGGGGCCACACAAGAGCATGCAGTCCCCGGGGACCACGTGCMCACGGRGGCCTGGGGATGCTGCAGGAAATCCTGGAGGGGTCCTTTGAGCTTTCGGGCGGCCTCCCTGGCGCTTTGTGCGCACTGGGCCCTGAGGGCCCTCTGGCCTTTCGTGCGGCCTTCCCCAGTCTCCTTGTGCACGTGTCCGTGGGGACTCTGGGCATACTGGGCCCCAGTAGCTCTGTGGATTTCACGCAGCCTCCCCAGGGCTTTGGGGCACGGTGCTCACGCTGGCTGCCCGTTGCAGTGCCGCCGGGCGACGGGAGGCCGGAGGGGCTGGCGCCTCACGAGGCCTCCCAGCAGGTGAGGACGCGGCCTTGGGAGTATCCCGCGGGATGGGCAGTAACGGCCGCAGGGAGCATCCCGCGGGATGCAGCCGGCCGCTCGCTGCCGTGCCGTCGTGGCCGGAAAGCTGCAGCAGTAGGTGGCACTGCTGCTCTGGCATCGCTTCCCACACGGCTCCTSCCGGAGCTGGATGCTCCGTAGGCTCTGTGCAGGCAGAGGCAGCGCGTCAGTAACTTCTCTTTCCTGAGGGCCAGCTGTGCCAGGGGCTCCTATTTTAGCCTCCACCAGTACCAAGGACTCATCCTTGAAGACCCTTCCCTCTCTTTTTACCACAAGGACCGCAGTATTTGCCCGGGATGCTGGAGYAGACAGCCCGGGAAAGCCCTTCTTCCCTCCCAGGCTCCCCAACCCCACATCTTGGCGTCACTCCCAGCTTCCCGGGAACATGGGGCGGCATCKTCTATAGCTGTAAGATCGACTAGAGGTTTGCTAGTGAATAGCTGAAAACATGGGGCATCCACTGGTGTGGTGGACACAGTGGCCACTGGCTGGGAGCAGCAGCTGATGGGCCTGGAGGAGGTGAAGGAGCCCTCGTCTGACATTGGGTCCCGTAGCAGTACTTGAGTTTCATTGGGTCCCGTAGCAGTACTTGAGTTTATTTGTAAACTGTTCTTTGGTAAACAATAAGAACGCAAAAGGGACCAAATGAATAAGGAGGTTCCCCCCCTCCCCAAAACAAACAAACAAAACACCCAACCAGCCCCATAGGAAAAATAAAATTCACTCAAGCGACAGGGATTTGAATAGGAAAAACAACCTAGAGCAAACGGGGGAGAGCAAGGGGAGCCCTGGGGGGCTGCGCTAGCGCGCTAAGCGACGCGGCGTGGCGGCCACGAGGCCGGGGGTGCCCGGGGCCCCGCAGCCTCCCGCTCCCGTGGCAGGAGGACGACCAYAGAGCGAGGCCCTGGCGAAGCGGCCCCGAGGCTCCCGGCTGGGCCACTCGCTCCCCTCCTTGTGCTCTGTTCCAGCGCAGCGATGGGGACGAAGGGGATGAGCGGGGGGAGAGGGAGGGAAGGGGGCCCTACATGGGGGGCTCGTTGCAGAGCACAATCTCCAGTTCCCTGCGGTAGAGCTTGCCCCCATCTGAGAGGTTCATGATGCTCTTCCTGTAGTTGGTGAGTTGCTGGATGCTCATCTCCTGCAAGGAGCGGGGCTGTGGGCGCTGCAGCACCCAGCGCTGCCTCGACTCCAGGCACCCTGGATGTTTCCTGTGGGTGCTGCCCCCCTGCTCCCTGATGGCCCTTCCCTACTTACTTTCTTGTTCTTCTCGTACAGGTCTTTCAAAAGGGCGTCCAGCTCATTCTCATCTATGAAGCCGCTGCCATCCTGGCCAGCAATGGAGGGACGTGAGCAGGTGGGACACACTCCTGGTAGTCCAGCACCAGGAGCTGTGTCCCGTATCTGAGCAGGGAACGTCCCTGCCTCCCGTTGGCCCCGCCAGGTAACACATCCCCTCATCTTTCTTCCCCAGTGCCCTCCTACCTTGTCGTAAAAGGCGAAGATAGCGTTGAATTCCTCCGATGACAGCTTCATTCCCTGGCAGGAGAAACAAGATGGGAGACAGGGGAAGAGGCATGCTGCAAACAGGGAGTATGGAACATGCACATGGATTTGTACCTGAAACTTAAGGAGGAAGTTCTCTTGCACAGGCAAAAGTCTGAAAAACAAAAAGGCAAGAAGCAAATGAGTCACAGCGAGCCAAGCGTCCCACTGTGCCAGCTGTCACGCTGCTCTGCACCCCAGGACGTGCTCATAGGCTCTGCACTTCCACAGCGGCCACCTGAACCATGCCCTGATGCTCCCAGGTAAGAGCTGGCCCTGGTCAGAGGCTCTGCTCCTGGGCAAGGGGTCCTGCCTGGCACCAGCAAGACTCAGATGATCTGATCCAACCATTTATATCTTTTTTCTCTCCTTTCCCCAGGTTATCTTTGAGACAGATTGTTTCCCTGAGCCGATTCAGACCAAGGCTGGCGAGGACAARGCTGCCCTACTTGGTGGAAGCGTGGACCACTGCAGACCTGCAACAGCAGGGAAGTGAGTGCAATTCGGGAGTGCCAGGACCCAAWGGCTCCTGGAACCCAGAAATGTAGGTGCCAGAGTTTTGTCCTTCATTCAAAACAAAATAAAAAGTAAAAAATAAAAGGAAGGAGCTACTGGGGAGGGAAGGGTCTCTATGGTTACTTCTCCACTGCTCCCCTTTGCCAGGAGACAGCTGAAAACCCCATTTGACATTGCTTTTGTTATGCCAGCTGCTGGGTTTTGAAGTCACACGGACTTCTCATTTAGAAACAGGAGCAAACCAAAGAGAAAAAGTCTGGTTTCCCCCATTAGCCAAAGCCAAAACCAGCTCCAAATGGATGTGAATATCTTGAGGCACTTCCTCCCCACCACTTGCTTCTTTTGCTCCTCTCATCCTGGCAGTGACATTTCTGGTGCAGAGGTCCCAAAGTCCCTTCTTTTTTTTTGGATAGAGGCATCTGAGGAGACATCCTCTGCTGCAGCTTCGGCTCTCCTGCGTGAARAAGGGTCTTACCGGGACATCTCCGAGAGACCCAGCTTCCCATCTCCGTTCATGTCGAACATCCGCAGCTGTGGAGACATGAGCAGGTTACCGATCATCTCCTCCCTTCTGCCAGGAGGTGGGTAAAGGCAGGAGACCGGGGGCTCACCCCCCACTTACGATGGTCTGCGTGTACTCCTGGAGCTTGGGCTCGTCGTAGGGCCTGTTCGCCTTCTTCAGCAGGTCCGACAAGAAGCCCTGGAGCGARAGCGACACGTCGGCCACGGTCCCGCCAGGCCGTCCCCGTGGGGCGGCGAGCGGATGCCCGGCAGAGCCCACCGCGCGCGGCCCCCAGCCCACCTTGAGCTCGTTGGCCTCTATGTAGCCGCTGCGGTCCGTGTCGTACTTGCGCCAGGCCTGTGAGGAGGCACCGCAGAGCGTCTGTGGGGGCTTCTGCAGCCCCCGCCGCCCGCCCGGGCCCATCACAAGGCTCCCGTTTCACTGGCGCATCAAGAGCTCAAGCGCATCATTGTCCTCGCTCCCGCCCGTGACGCAGCGCTTCAATATTTCATGGCAGCCCCGGGTTCTACAATAGCGGCACTAGCAGCTCCTCTTTCTGTCTCCCACAAGGATGCTGCGTTTCTTTTCCGAGCCCCACTTTACATCTGAGTCCCACTCGCCGCCTGGTGCTGCTCATGTGTGGATCCCACCCTTTTCCTCTTTCCACCTTCCCTAAAGTCAGCCCCAGCAGAGCCAGACATGGGGACCTCGGGGACCCAAAGGGGCTTAAGAAGCCACGGTCAGAGACAACGCGAGCCCAACCAGGGCCRCTCACCTCCATGAACTCCGAGCTGGAGCCAACGTGCTGGCGGAAACACAGCAGGAAGTTCTCCTCCGTGGGTAGGATCTGGGCCAGCTGCAGAGACAGCCACTGTCAGCACGACAAGGACCCGGGTGCCCAACACAGTGGCTCCCTGCTTGCTCTTCCAGCCACACCGTGAGCCTGTTGAACTTCTCCCCCTGCCCCATATGGAGCTTTYCATTCACTCCCATTGTGCTAAAGAAGGCACTACCACCACTGAGCTGTGCCTGGGCATCTCCTCCCACCATTCGCAGAGACCGGAATGCCAAAGACAACATGTTGTCCCTGTAGCCCTGTCCCCTGCATCCCTGAGGGATCTCATGGTTCGACTCACCTCCGCCATCTCAATTTTGCCATCTGCGTTTTTGTCGTACTTGTGCATGAACTCCTTCATCTTCTCGCCAAAGTTGTCCTTGGAGTCCTGCTGGCAGAGCGTGGGGCCAGGGCTCAGCCGTGCTCCTCCTCTTCGCCCCCAGTGTTCTCTCCCCAGTGTTTTGAACTTGAGCCTATTCCCACTGGCTCACTGGCACCCAAGTCCCTCCCTGCCCGCAAGCTCCCGTGGGCTAACCAGGGCAAAACGGGGCTTTGGGAGCCTCCGGCACTGCCAGCCTCATGGCAGCCTGAAACCACACGTTGGAGGGACATGGGCAGCAAGAGCAGGTGCATCCTTACCACGCCAGCTCCCTTCCTGGCGCTTTCCAGCTCCTGGAAGAAGTTTTCCAGCTCTTTGCCTTCGATGTAGCCGTTTCCTGGGAAGGAAGGAGAAAGCCAAAGTGTTGGTGAGTGACGGGCGCAGGTGCTACCTGGTGACACCTGCCCGAGCTYGCAGGGAGCCCCCAGCGCCCGGGTTTTAACCCAGGACACACAAAGCCCCAGCTCGTACAAAAGAGGGAGAAGACACCGATGCCACCAGCCTGCCACAGTGCCACCACGCAAAGCCCGGCGGCAGCGCTGCCTGCCACCACAAACAGAGCTGGTGCCCCTTTGAGAAGATGGGGATGTCGCATGAGACGCATCAGCGGTGAAGGCCATTAGGTGCATGTCAGGATGGGGTTCCTATGGCAACGGGGCCGTCCCCTCGCCTTAACGAGGCCACTGCAATCAGCTGCCGCGCAGTCTCCTCCTGCCGGGCCGCTTCCTCGGCGCTTTCGCCCTGAGCTGCTCTTGTCCCGCTCCAGCACATGGGGCTTCTCCGTGCTCCGGAGGTTGAGCGGGAGGAGGACTCAAGAGTAGACGAGTGCTCCCACAGYTCTCGGTGCCTTGGTCCATCTGGGGGAGCAGCTGCGGTGCCTTCTTCCCAGCGGCTCTGAGAGCAAGTCAGCAGCACCGCGATGGACACGAGCTCTTCCTCTCGGGCACGGGCGTGGGGACCAGGCTTGTGTGCAGGGGACGGCAGCACCAATGTCACCGTCCCCGTCCTCTGCGTTGTACTCTGTCCTCCTGAGCTACCCACAAGCCACAAGATTTGCGGGACCTTCCCAGGCACAGCTGGCGGCTCCTTCCCCGAGGAGTCTGGAGGGACTTTTACTCCTTTCCCCCTGCAGAGGGGACAGCCACCCGCGAGCCACCCGCCCTCGTGGGGACAATGCAGTCTGTCCCCCAGGCGCTGCAGGGGGCTGGGCCAGGAGGGCCCCACAGCACCCCACAGACAGTTGGCACCTTGAGRCGACACAGCCCCGGGGGCATCCGCTCCCTTCCCGCTGCCCTCAGGAGCCCCTTCCCGTGTGGGGTGGTCCTGCTGTGGGGGGAGGCGCGGAACGGGCCAGAGCACCCAGGAGAACGGCACCGTAAGCTGTTTTTCTTCCGCTAAAGTGATTCTTCTTTAAAATTTCCCTGCCGCTGCATATGCCAGCTCCCTGCTCCAGCACAGAGCCCCGGGGCTCGCCTCCGCTTCCGAAGCGTGGGGACGGAGCCCAGTGTTGGGTTTGGAGCCCGTGCCCAGCAGTGCTGTGTCCCTGCACAGCACAGACGTCCCCCCTGTCCCCATGACACGGGGCGCTCCATCCAGGGAGCCTCATCCCTGTTTCGCTCAGGGAGGGAGACATCCCTTCCATCATCCCCTTCCTGGGGGCACGAGATATCCTCAGGGTCTCACCTGCATCCCTGGTGTCCCCTAGAGCCACGGGTACCTAGGACATGAGCAAAGGGTCCCCCATRGCCCGGGTTTCCCCGGAGGGATAGCAGGGACATCCACCAGCAAGCTGGGGGCACTGGGCTGCCGTGTCCCATGCCCCAAGAGACGCAGCCCTTGGGGGACACAGGGGAGACCCGCAGCCCGGCGCAGGGAGGGTCCCAGCTGGGAGCCGCTCCCGGGGCTCCGACGGGGGCTCTCTGCACTCTCTCGGCGGCTCCTGCTGCTCGCGGGGCGCTTCAGCGCCCTGCCCGCCCTGCGGCGGGGGGCACAGGGTGCAGCGGGTTGCACGGGATGCTCCCCATAAAAAAAAAAAAAAAAA